TCCTTGGCGCAGTACTTGGCTAGCGCCGCGCGCACGAGTGTTGCACGATTCTGCTTCAGGGTCTGCAGCCATGACCATCTAGGCTTGCCCTCCACGTGCAAGCCCTGCAGAAGGCGACTAAATAAAGGCGAGTCGTGGTAAGGCAGGGTGCTCGCGAGGACATCGTCCACATTCCAGCGGTGCACCTGGTACCTTTGAAGCAGACCTTCCAGGCACTCCTGAGCGGCTCGCGTCTGCATGTGCGGAGAAAGCAGAATCAGCATGCGTCTGATCTCGGAATCCAGGTGGGCGTTCTCCTCCGTCGAGAGCAACTCCCTGTCGCGCTGGGCCCCCTCGAACAGGGTCGAGAACGCTGCGAGATCAGGGTCGAGCCCCGACACGCCCGCGACGCCATTCCGCGCGAGCGACGCGAACGCATCAGAGTCGTGCTGGCTCGCCTTCCGAGGGTCGTAAACAAGGCCTTCTCGTCGCAAACAGATCGATCAGTTAAACCTCGCATCGATGGAATCGCATCGTACGAACGGTGACCACTTCGGCCGAACTCGCACACACACACAGCGCAACATGATGTCAAACGTGTCGGCTCGCACAAGACTGGGCTGGACGAAGGAGGGGAAGGAAGAAAAAGAGTGAAGAAGAGCCCAAGGAAAGAGGCAGCAGCAAGAGCAAGAGCTAAGACGCCGGACCTCCAGCATCGTACAAAGAATAGGATGGGCAGGATGGGGAGGGAGAGCACAAGGAAAATGAGGAGGTTGTGAAAACAAAAAACGGCCAGAGCGCTCCAGTTTGTCGAGCTGCATCAACTCGCAGGAATTCTGGGGCACGAGCAGGGTGGAGAATCCCCTCGTGCTTCTTTCCGCGACGCCCCGATGTCATGAGAGGAACAGCTTGCCATCGCTCGGACGTCCATTCCCTGTGTTTTTTCGGTTTCGTGCGTGGTTTTTTTTTTCGCAGGATGATCCAGGATGCTCCCTAATAGTCCCCGCCGAGAAAAAGTGCACACGTCCGAGCGATACCAAGTGAGAGGAACAGGGGGATGGAGAACGGTGGGCCACTTGTGGCCCCTGCGCCCGCGCTCCCTCCTGCCCGCGGGGGGCCGGCCCTGGCGCGCGCTACACTGTCACGCCATGCGCTTCCCGTATGGCGCGCTCGCAGCACGGATGACCCGCCCACGGGTGGGTCGAAAAAGCAAGGTGGTGCGCCGCCTGGTGCGCTTGCATTCTTTGCCGCAGCATGATGAAGTGATACACTGCCGCGCGATACGTTTCCTGTATGGCGCAATCGCGACACGGGAGACGCACACACACACACACATATACACACAGGTGTGTTACCCGAAAGCCGCGTGGGTAAAGCCAACAACTTCCCTTGCATTTGCATCCTGGACCTCAACATGAAACCATACACTGCCATGCACTACGTTTCCCCTATGGCGCGCTCGCCACACGGGCAATGGAAGGGAACAACAAACCGTGACATGTGTACTCTGGGCCTCGACATGAGACGGCGCATTGCCACGCAATACGGTTCCCGCCCGCATGGTGCGCTCGCAACACGGGCGACGCGCCCACGACGAGTCACCCAAAAATGGATGGGACAAATTATTCTGAAGGACCAAACCATATGCAAGCGTGAGTATCGCATGGCAGGTGGGACGAAGGAGGGAAAGCTCCCAAATGGGGCCACGAAGCGTGTAATGCGCCGAAGTGGGCACGGCGGTGGCACGCGGATCCTGCCACTGGGGCCTTCGGTGGAGCTCCCTATGGGGCCACGAAAAGTGTGAGGGATGTGCTGAAAAGGGCGTGGCAGTGGCATGCGGACCCTCCCACTGGCGCCTTCGGTGGAGCTCCTTCTGAGGACACGAAAAGTGAGGAGTATGCCGAAATTGGCGAGGCGGCGCCATTCGAACCCTGCGACTGTGGCATTTGGTGGAGCTCCCTATGGGGCAACGAAGCGTGTCCCAATGCTGCGAAAACCCTCTCCCTGTCTCCTTTCCCCTCCTTGCTCCTCCCTCCTCTCCCTCCCCCTTCCCACTAAAAAGCGACCCCAAAAGCCTCTCCTGGATCGCACTCCGACCAAAATCTGGAAACGAATCCAACCATGGCGACAAAGATCCTCCAGGAGGCTCAACAATTACGCAGGAACATTCAAACCGTCTGGGCCACTCTTTTTTGCAATGTCCATGTCGCTTCGCTTATCGAGACGCCTGGCACACGTTATCCTGAATTCCTCGATCACGTGCTGCGCTGTGACCAAACGTCGTCCTCTCAGCGGTTGAACCCAGTTGTGCCCCACATCCAAAGTCTGCGCCAGAAAAATACCCATCTCGCCATTGGCGCGTTTCTTTGTGTTTGGCGATGACGGGCGTCATGGGGGGGAAGGGGGGGGGGGGGGGCGAGGGGAGGGGTATGACGTAACGCCCCCCCCACCGTGTGGCTCAGGCACCGCAGCCGCGCCGCGCCC